CGTGTACAAAAACGCCCTCCCCCGCCATGATTTAAAACGCTGTGTAAACATACTGTAAACATTGTGTCAACCTATTTCGCAAGTATGGAGAACAGCGATAGAGACACAACAAACACACAGCTCCGATCACAGCATCCTCCATCCTCCTGTTGTTAATGTTGTTGTTCTTTGTTTCTGTTCTTGAACGCCGTGCACAAATGACGACGCTGGAACTAAAGCGGTGCGAAAGGCCCTCTTGTGGAAATCCAACTTGAGGTCCTGAGAGATGGTGGGCACCAGTTGATGGGGTGGGTGCTGGATGAGAATTTTCCCAGCCTTACTAGCTGGTGCCTGTCTGTCAGGAAGATGGTGATCCACTGACAGACAGAGGTGGTACAGAGTTAATTTGGACCGGAGTAGGGTTGGGTACCGTTCACATTTTAGCCGGTATGGTACAGGTATCGGTACCTGAATTTCGGTGCCGGTACCCAATGGTACCTTTTTTTGAAAAATCTGGTTGTAATTTATTTTTATAATTTAATTGTTTTCTTTAAATTTGATAGAAAATTTAATATTTAAAGATGTACATTATATTGTACAAAAGTAATACAAGAGTAATATATTTCTGTTACATGTTAAACCGTACTTTTATTTTGACAGGTTGCCATGAAGTTTCTGTGTGTATAAAGTATGATAATGCTAGTTTTCTCAAATGGTAAAATTCTCGCGAAGTGACTCTCACACAGCAGCTCGGGATTAAGTTTTTGTGTTGATGCCATCATATAGTGAGAGGCAGAGGCCGAAAATCACCGCGAGCGTCACGCGTGCTTCAGTATTTGTTTAGTAAACAAAACCACGTTTCCGCCATTCATACATTATTTATTTTTTATTCAAGGAACAATAACACACAAAATGTTATCAAGAAAACAACATTAAAATAATAAGAAAAAAAAGATAGAAGGACAAATTATAACAAATAAAAAACAGTTGCCAGAGGGAGGTCCGCCATTCATACATACAGCGGCAAGCGGAACATGCAGGATTCATATTTAAACTGTCTTTTTTGCATTTTAATATTCACAGACATTAGTTCATATTGCGATTTGAATGAAGTGGCAGACCTACTTTTGATTTATTCGTCCAAAATTGAGACACAACAAACACACAGCTCCGATCACAGCATCCTCCATCCTCCTGTTGTTAATGTTGTTGTTCTTTGTTTCTGTTCTTGAACGCCGTGCACAAATGACGACGCTGGAACTAAAGCGGTGCGAAAGGCCCTCTTGTGGAAATCCAACTTGAGGTCCTGAGAGATGGTGGGCACCAGTTGATGGGGTGGGTGCTGGATGAGAATTTTCCCAGCCTTACTAGCTGGTGCCTGTCTGTCAGGAAGATGGTGATCCACTGACAGACAGAGGTGGTACAGAGTTAATTTGGACCGGAGTAGGGTTGGGTACCGTTCACATTTTAGCCGGTATGGTACAGGTATCGGTACCTGAATTTCGGTGCCGGTACCCAATGGTACCTTTTTTTGAAAAATCTGGTTGTAATTTATTTTTATAATTTAATTGTTTTCTTTAAATTTGATAGAAAATTTAATATTTAAAGATGTACATTATATTGTACAAAAGTAATACAAGAGTAATATATTTCTGTTACATGTTAAACCGTACTTTTATTTTGACAGGTTGCCATGAAGTTTCTGTGTGTATAAAGTATGATAATGCTAGTTTTCTCAAATGGTAAAATTCTCGCGAAGTGACTCTCACACAGCAGCTCGGGATTAAGTTTTTGTGTTGATGCCATCATATAGTGAGAGGCAGAGGCCGAAAATCACCGCGAGCGTCACGCGTGCTTCAGTATTTGTTTAGTAAACAAAACCACGTTTCCGCCATTCATACATTATTTATTTTTTATTCAAGGAACAATAACACACAAAATGTTATCAAGAAAACAACATTAAAATAAGAAGAAAAAAAAGATAGAAGGACAAATTATAACAAATAAAAAACAGTTGCCAGAGGGAGGTCCGCCATTCATACATACAGCGGCAAGCGGAACATGCAGGATTCATATTTAAACTGTCTTTTTTGCATTTTAATATTCACAGACACTAGTTCATATTGCGATTTGAATGAAGTGGCAGACCTACTTTTGATTTATTCGTCCAAAATTGACGAATTCCGTGGCATTCCGCACTATTTAAGTAAATTACGTTTTTATGAATGGACTCCACGATCCCTTCTGTGGTTTCGCAGAAACCATTATGGCCCTAGAAATATAACCACACTTAGGAACATTTCGGCTTGCCCTGTGTGTTGTTTGAATGAGTTGCAGGGGTGACATCATGTCACAGGGTCTCTCTCTCTCTGTAGTGTATGCGCCCAGATGCGTTCTCAGGTACCAAGATTTGGCACCTATTGATTTAATGTGAATTGGTACTCTGTAGTACCGATGCAGTTCGGTCGGTACCCTTAAAAGTACCGAGTTCGTTACCCAACCCTAGACAGGAGGAGGTTTGGGATAATAGTGTTGAAGGCCTAGCTGAAGTCCACAAACAGGATCCTCACTTAAGTCCCTGATCTGTCCAGATGTTGTAGGATATAATGTTGACTGCATCATCCACAGACCTGTTCGGTAAGCAAACTGCAGGGGGTCCAGCAAGGGTCCAGTGATGTGCTGGCCCACCTGAAGGACCAGTCTTTCAAATGACTTCACCACAGATGTTAAAGCCACAGGTCTGTAATCATTTAGTCTTGTAATTTTGGGTTTCTTTGGGATGGGTATGATGGTGGAGCATTTGAAGCAGCAAGGGACTTCACACAGCTCCACTGATCTGTTGAACATCTGTGTGAAGATGGGGGCCAGCTGGTCAGTACAGGTTTTTAGATAGGCTGGTGTAACACCGTCTGGGTCTGGTGCTTTCTTTCTCTTCTGTTTCCAGAAGACCTGACACACATCTTTTTCACAGACTTGAAGTGCAGGAGGGGATGGGAGAGGGGGTGTTGCTGGAGGTGTTAATAGATCTATGAAGAGAAGGTCAGAATGGGTCTGAGACACATTCAAAACATCGGCCAGTTGTTGATTCTCCACAGTGCTTGTAGTTGATGTCTTTCAGTCCTTGCCACACTGATGCAGGGTCATTGGCAGAAAACTGTCAGCTTTTCGGAGTAGTTCCTTAGCCCCTCTGATCTCCTTTGTCAGTGTGTTTTTGGCCTGTTTATACAAGACTCTGTCCCCATTCCTGTAGGCATCTTCTTTGGCCTGACAAAGCTGTCTGAGTTTTGCAGTGAACCACGGTTTGTCATTGTAATTTAAATGAGTCCTGGTAGGGATGCACCTATATTCACAGAAACTGATGTATGATGTCCAGAATCCATGAGCTCGTCATGATCGGTGGCAGCAGCTTCAAAAACACTCCAATCAGTGCAGTCGAAACAGGCTTGTAAATCCCGCTCTGCTTCATTAGTCCATCTTTTTACAGACCTTATTACAGATTTAGCGGCTTCAGTTTCTGCCTGTACTAGGTGAGTATAAGATGAACCAGACAGTGATCAGAGAGCCCCAAAGCTGCCCGTGGGACAGAGTGATATGCATCCTTTATTGTGGTGTAACAGTGGTCCAGTATATTACTGTCTCTGGTAGGACATGTAACGTGATTTACTTGTGAGGTTTGCTTTATTAAAGTCCCTGAGAATGATTATAACAGAGTTCAGATGTTGTTGCTCTGTGTCTGCGTTCTGATCAGCGCTCGCGTGCACTTGTGGTGAAATGTAAACACTTACGAGAATGAACGAGGAAAACTCCCACCGCTGCTCCGCCAACTGCAATGTTCAGCTAAATGCCCGAGTAATCAAAAATCAGTAGAAGATGTGTGGCGTGTACTGTCAAATGTTTAACAGTTCATCCCTGGTAAAACGGATTGTTTTTGAAAAACCTCAGACAAGACAAACTAACAAAAAAATTAAAACAACTGGAAAGCTCCTCACCAAGGCAGCCATACGCAGCGCCGTCTTGCTCGTCAATATGCCAAGATATGAAGTATCTTTCAGTTTAAACAGTAATGATATACATTATTTTTTTGTTTTTACCTTTTTTTCAGAGCCTGCCCTTCACAAAAATAGCTCACAGCATCACAGCACAAGACCATCAGCCCACCCCTGATAGCTGCATATTGAGTATGGTAGTAGGCCAACTAAAAGTAAGTATTTTCTCAATTTCATTTTGACCTCTGACAGTTATGCTATTGCAGCAATGCTTGAGGTGAACACTTCAGACAAATATGTATTTGATAAGGTCTAGGAGGTCATTCTACCCATTTGAAATGCATAACATCACCTTAATCGCAGTGACATTTGAATCGAGAGTGGCTGTGGACATATTAAGCCTCTCTTGATTGCCCTCTTGCTCTACCTTATGTGACACAGTACTGTGTAGTCAAAGATTGTATAAGCATTTCAGAGCTGTAGAGTATGTGTGTGTGTCTATCAGGCGGACAATGACCAGGTGCTGGGCTTCCACCAGACCTTTCTGTTGAAAAGTATCAACACTGCCTGGGTTTGCACCAATGAAGTCTTCAGGCTTGCCCTGCACAACCTTTGAACTTAAAGGCTCTCGCTGGTCACATGGCCTTTTCTCCTTCTCTTAATGTCTGTAAGGACCAGTGTCCACTTGGGTTCACGCACACCGTACGGGCCTCTCTACTAACAGCTTTAAGCTGTGTTCAGATCAAGCGGCTGTGTAGATTTAGTATGCTATGAGATGTCTTATTTGTTTGTGCAGGTTTGCCTGGTGTTTTTTTTGCACTCCTTTTTCAGTGTGTGTGCATTCTGTGTGTGGTACTTATGCGGTGAAGAAGCAGCACGGCCTGATTGTGCATTTGCAGTCTGCTACTGATCCTGCGGCTGTATACCACAAATACAACATTAATCCATTATTTTAATTTGAAATCCAAACGTTATTACTGAAAATGCTGTTTCAGCATTGTGATTATCTTTTTACACAGTACAGTAATACAATCTTTCATAGACATATTCACATTTAAATGCAATAAATGTAAACAACGTATTATTCAATGCATTTTACTTCTAGATTTATATAATTACGTTGCTCAAGCAAGTGGCAAAACATTTAAACACAGCCTATAGCTTAGTTTTCTTACAGTAAAACTTAGTAGGCTATCACAAACATTTTAAATAAACTTACCACTGACAGAAACATTCGACTATCGTGCATTTTCTTTTGCATTTAAATCTTTATTACAAGCAGTTGTGCCGGTCATGAAGGTTTTTCTACCTCCACGAGTGTCATTTATTATGTTACCTTGCTCGTCTAAAAGTGCACTTTTCCCGGGGCCCGTTCTTCGTACCTCGCTTAACACATCTGAGATTATTTGACAGATGCCAGATCTTCTAATCGTGATAACTGATCTCTGGCGAATTTGGTTCTTCAAACGAATTTGTGGATTTGATTAAAATAACTGGATTAAGTTGTCTAAGATTAGTGCGCATTCTCATGTTCCCCGTAAAGGGCAGATGTACCGTTACTCGAAACCACGATCAGCAATGCAGCGATTGGCTGGTGGCAAGACAGCAACATAATGACATCATATAATTAAAAAAAACACCTGACAAATTTCTGGACCTTTATAAGGAAACAGCCAAGTGAACAAAACTACATAAATGTTATAATAAATAAATAAAGCACTGTTTTTATTTATTCGCTTTTTTTTCTTTTCTTTTTTTTTTACATAATTCCCAATTATTTATATTCACGATTTCTAGTATTTGTACAGGCTTTACTTATTTCAGTGTTGTAATTAGCAATTCATGTAATTTTATCTTTGAAGCAGATTTGTTACGTGACAGCGTTAATTAAAGTTTCTTACGGGTCAAGATCAAGTTATCTGCATCTCCTGCGCTCCATCAAGCCACTCCCATAATAGCTGTCACCAAATTAAAAATTAATTCACGACTCAGATTAACTGTATAGACTCTAATACAATTATAAAGTAATTATTTTATCACAAATAAATATTTCAGTGAGTAAAACTGGCTGTGTCTGTAGTATTATAGATTACACAACATTATAATATTATTTTCAAATTAATTTATAAATTATTATTATTTTAAATGATTGTCTCAGGATTAGTAGGGTACTCTTGTAATAGAGTAGCAGTGGCTGGAACAGATTTTAAATATAAATTCCTCTTAAAAAGATGCAATCTAATCCTGTTTACATGAAATAAGCCTGCTCCCGAGCAGGTTTAATCTTACGGACCTGTTGCTATGACAGTAAGTCCAGGATGAGCTTCGAAGAACCAAATAATCAAAGATCATGCCAAATTGTCAACAATCAAATCCAGCTAACTGAGTTAGCGACGTACGAAGAATGGGCCCCTGGCTTTAAACCTAGCTAAAAAGCCATGTGTTGACTGTGAAACACAGTAGACTTTAATTATGTGCATTTATGCTATAATTACTACATTTTAGTGTCAGTCCATGTACATTTTTTACCCCGAACAATGCGATGTCACTTTAATTCAGAGCGTGCAGCACAGCAAAAATAGACTCGATGTGAAAACAATAGCTACACTGCTGCATATGCACCGCTCCTGGAGCACATTGCCGGACCGCATCCGTGTGCAGTGTGAATGCTGTTAACATGGGCACAGAAAAAAAATACACACCTCATATGCACTGCAAACAGAGCATGTGTGAAATGGGCATAACAATCAGCTTTTATTTTGACCTGTCTTTATGTGCATCTTCAATTTTATAATGAAGAGTTCTGCATTTTAGTCAGAGTTCCTTCACATGAAAAACTAACGTGACATTGTTCAAAATGGGTGAAACATGGCATACTTGAGATCAGATGTGTTTCTACTGAGCTTTTAGATTCTATTTATAAAGATGCAGCATAAAATGATATAGAAATGAATAGAGATTGACTATTGGGGTAAAATAAGTGTTATAAAATCATGATTTTGAATTACTTTTGTTATTGTCTTTCTAGTTTAAGTATTAGTAATTTTGTGCTTTTGTCACTTTTATTAGGTTTATTTTTTAATAATTTTATTCTAGTTTTAGTAATTTTAGTACTTCAACTTATTATTATTATTATTATATATATTTTTTTTTACATGATTTCAGCTTTCTTTTTAATTAACAAAAAAAAATTTGTTTTAGTTAGAGTTTGGATTATCTTGCACAAAAAGCATTTTATAACCTTGTGACTTCTTTAAAATAATTGTTCGAGTTCCATCAGTATATGGCATGTGTGTATTTAATAAAAACATGGTCATAATAACTTAATATATTAGATTAGAAATCTTTATTGTCCACACATGTGGAAATTCATCTTCGGCCCCGTCAAAACATATAGGACTACCACAAATACACTTAACTTCACAGTCCAATACAACAGACACACAAAACACAGTTCAAGAATGTCTTGCCCCAAGGATTACAGACACCTGAGACATAAAAGCAGTATATAGAAATTAAGCTAATAGTACTAAGACCATAAGTAGATCATTAATAAATAAATAACAGCAATTAGTTACATAATATATACGTAAACCTGATTAAAAATCATTTATTTAATAAAGTAATGGCAGATGGTATAAAAGATTTCTTGAAAATATTTCTTGTTGCTATGGGTACCCTGTATCGTCTGCCTGAAGGAAGTTTTTCAAATTCATGTTGGAGAGGGTGAGTGGAGTCCTGAACTATTTGTGAGGCTTTCCTCCTGGTCTGGTTTGTATACAGTTCCACCAGCTGCCTCTGGGGGTCCAATATGATCTTACTGGCTATATTAATAATCTTTGTGATCTTACTTTTGCTTCTAGCCCCCAGATTCCCATACCAGCAGGTGATGTTATAGGAAATAATACTTTCCAGCAAACTGGTGTAAACCATCCTCAGGATTCCCTTACTCACATTAAAACTATTTAGTTTCCTCAAAAGAAACAATCTTTGGCTTGCCTTCTTATAGATACAGTCTGTGTGCTCAATAAAATTTAAGCTACAATCTAGGATAATCCCTAGATATTTAAAACTATTTACAATCTCAACATGTCGGCCCCCAATTATGATCAGCTGACATGTAGGTTGCCCTTCCCTAGTAGTACTGACAACAAGTTCCTTGGTTTTAAAAGCATTTAGTGACAGAGCACTCGTCTCGCACCATGCCACCAGGCGGTCTATATGCTCAAAATACACCCTCTCTAAATCCCCCTTTCCTCTGGCCATAAGACCAACCATAGCCATGTCATCGGCATACTTAAACTAAAATTACTTTCACAAATCTGCATTTCATTTATATAAATAGTAAACAGTGCAGGTGATAACACACAGCCTTGGGGGACGCCAGTGTTCAGAATAACCTCATCAGACATGGTACCCTGTACAGAGACTCTTTGAGGACGTTCAGCTAAGAAGTCCTTGATCCATAACACAAGGTGCCCATTGGTATCCAATTTTAATAGCCGATCTAATAAAATGTCAATCCTGACAGTATTAAAAGCTGAACTAAAATCAATATAAATAAAATTCTAGCAAAAGCACCAGGATGCTGAATGTGCTTGCTAATCACATGCAGCAGAGTTAACGTAGCATCCTCAGTGCCTCTCTGTGCCTTATAAGCAAACTGCAGTTGGTCAGACAAATGGGTATTTGGCAGACGCCCTAACACAACCCTTTCCATGCATTTACATAGAATGCTGGTGAGGGCAATAGGTCTAAAGTCATTAGGTGATACAGGGTTGCAGTTTTTAGGCACAGGGATAATTGTGGTTCTCTTCCAAGAAGTGGGACAGTGTGTGTGTCAAGCAAGGTCTGAAATAGTCTAGTAAAAACACCTTTAAGTTGGTAAATGCACCCTGCTATGGCCCTCCCTCTAAGACCATCCGGGCCAGGTGCTTTATGAGGGTGTACCCTAGCAAGACAACCAGCTATCTCCTCCTCTGTAAGAGTGATGGTATTCCAGATATCGCTACACACTTGGTCAACCCTAACTGCATGTGTGGTTTTGTCAAACCTACTATAAAACTGATTTAATTCATTCGCAAATGAAGCAGTATTTGTGGGTAGGCAATGTTGCTTCTGGGTCTCTCTACCCATCATATCATTTAGACTGCTCCATGCTTTACGATCATCCCCAGTGACAAACTGTTTCTCCATTTTATCTCTATATTGCTGCCTGGACTTTCTAATAATTGCTCTAAGTTCTCGTCTTTTGTCTTTAAAGAGCACCATATTACCTTGAGCAAAAGCAGCCCTTTTCTCACTTAGACATTTCTTCAATTCGTGTGAAACCCAAACCTTGTTATTAGGGTATATTTTAACAGTTTTTGTTGGTACAACATTATTCTCACAGAAAATAATGTAAGATGTTTCTGTTAACTCATTTGTGCTTACACAGTTATCAAAGAAAATGTCCCAGTTCGTATCATCTAAGCAGTCTCTCTTTACAGACCTCAGACCACAGCATCACTTCTCTTACAGTAGGCTTCTCTTGTTTGAGTTTAGCTTTGTATGTGGGCAGCAGATGAATAACGTTATGGTCTGCATTCGGTATATTACCATAACACTGATCCAGAGTCCGCGAAAGCCGTGTGGGACAGTCTATATATTGTTGTAGCGTTGGTAAATGACTGGAAAGTTCGCAGTTATTAAAATCCCCAAGTATGAACACAGGCTGGTCCACAGAGCGCGAGAGTGCGTTGTTAAAACTCTCACTTATCCTACCAGCATGCTTCCTCATATTTAGGTCCCGGTATATAAACCAGAATGATGGTAATCTGTCCGAATTCCCTTGGAAGATAGAACGGTCTGAATGATACAGAAAGCAACTCATAGTCGGGTGTGCACACTTTCTCATGAATGCGCAGTTGTGTTGCCCATTTACTGTCCACAAAAATACACTCCCCGATCGATTTGTTTGATTGATGTTTGTCCCGGTCAGCTCTTATCGTGATGTAACCTGGAAGCGCAACTTCAGTCTGGTCTTTGAGCCATGTCTCCGTTAGACAGATCAGGTTACTCATTACTCAGCGTTATCATGGGAAGAGGGAATCGCGCACCTCGCTTCCGAAGCCTGGCCCGAACACCCCCTCTTGCACCCCTTTTCTTCAACTTCTTCGCTTTAAAGTTAGGTTTCCGTGCGATTTCGGGGCAATCGTGCATTAATAATTCAAGATCCAGCTGTGCTGCATGTCTTTGTAGAGACATCAGGTATTCTCTGGAGTAGGTCACATCTTGCCTAGACCCAGACAAAGAGTTGTTCATGGAGAACAGTGAAAATAAGGCGTTCAGAATTAGCCATGTTCTAGTTATCTCCATAATCCACAGTGCAGGAAGCTCAACCACACAATCACGACAAAAAAAACACGTAGCGAGATATGGCCAGTTTACATTACATACAGTAGGTGATGCCTTGTCTTGGATCATTGTTTTGTGAGTGTATGTGAGAAACTGACCCAGATTGTTTACCCCACCACATTTTGTCATGTTTTTATTTGTTTCCCCATTATCGACCAAAGTATGCTGTAATTATGTCACGACATTGTCTTTAGCTGGGAAAAAAGTGAATATTGTGACAGACTATGAGCCTTTAATTAGTCGTGGTTCCTTAATGCAGCTTTTGTCTTTACTTAGCTGAACTAATATGCGTTCAAACTTGCTGAACATGTCTGAAAGCTTGCATGTTTTTAGTTTAACAGCATTTGAATTTTTACCCCAGGTTTAACAGCATTTGAATTTTTACCCCAGGTTTAATTCCCTTCTCTTTAATGAAGTGTTGCAGTTGTATGAGAGCCTCCGTTTAAGTCTCCTCTGTGTTTCTGCTTTGTCTAGGCAGATGATGACCCCATCATGGGATTCCATCAGAGCTTCATCCTGAAGAACATTAACGAGGCTTGGGTTTGCACCAATGACATGTTCCGCCTGGCGCTGCACAATTTTGGTTAAACGCCCCATGGCTAGCAGGAGGGAAGTGGGGGAAGGTGGAGGATGGGGTTCCGCCCTGATGACGCCTGAACCTGTCAATCAGCCCTTCATGCATCCCACTCAAGAGAAACAGCTCCGGATTACAGCAGTCAATCACAGAAAACATGCAGGCATATACTGTACTGCCTCTACTCCAGAAATGACATGTTTCTTTGCTGAAAGCCCACACATCCATCAAACTGACCCTTTTCCTTCGCCAACCTGCATGATGATGGGGAACTTATTAAATATCAGAGGACGCCCTGACCAGAACGAAAACATATTGACCTAACCTCGGATGTTTGATATTTACATTTTAGTTGCTGATTTTGACTTTGAAATAACAACCGTCTTACTGCCTTTCTTTGCTTTAGTACAACATGTGTTCAGCTTGTTTTTAGAATATGCTCCTTGTAGTTTAAATCTTTTTTTGTTTTTGCCCCACTTGAAAATTGGTGTGATGTCAGGTTGCTCTAGCTAGCCAAAGAACACCACCCTAATTTCCCCTTCCCCTCAGACCAGTGTGCTTCCCATTTTCTGCTCACTGTTCTGTGACAATAAGTACCAAGCCAAGATACACAATAAAACATTTGAATTTTTCTTAACAACTTCATCATGTTGTTCATCCCCCTGTCTGGTTTTGCGTCTAATTTATTTCCCCTTTTCTATGCTTGTCTCTTCATGTTTTTCATACTGCTTCATATTAGATTCTATCATTAAGGTTATAGATTTATTTGAGCAGAGCAGATGAAACTTCTCAGTACTTTTATTCTTTCATTTACCCTTTTGTTTTAGTTCAGATGTTTTGCTTCCCCTGTTTTCCAATGATAAAAATCCTGAAGTAATGGCATGTGGGATGTTATGTTTCATAAGCTTGTATGAATGTAAATGTCATTGAGTTTGTAGTGTGGCCAAAGCTGTTATCACCTTCCATATTTAGGGTTATATTTGGACATTTCCAGTACAAGAAGGATCACAGACAAAGCCTGAAACATGACTAGTTTGTGGGAATATGAGATGACTATTTTCTCGTTTCCACAAAATGTTTACACTAAAGGAGTTATGTTCATTGTTTCGGATTAGAAAAATCATATTCACAAAATATGAAGGCCTTTGTGCCAAGTGATGGTACAGATATATTAGAAAGAGGTCTTCTGCATTGTGGCTTTTTGCACTGAAATATCTAGACGGATCTGCTAGAACATGAGTATAATGAGTCAGTTTCTTGCATTATATTTTTGCTGGAATACATGTATTGTACATGTACTTCATGCTTGTTTGACCCTGCAGATATCCACTCTCTGTGGTTTAAGGGCAGGAGCAAAAGAACACTTGATTTTCCAAACAAAAACAACAGTAATACAATGTGAATACAGTAAGAGATACTTCAGCCGCCTACATGTATGTGGAAATAAATGAGATCAAATTAAAGTGTGCTGTTACGTTATTTCTATAGATGGAGGAAATAATTGAAATATATTTTTCTTAAGTGATTTTCTGACAACCACTAATAATAAGTAATCATATGTTTAATATAATAACACGCCAGTAAAATATAAAGGTATGAATTCATATATAGAAAAAATATAAAGGTATGAATTAGTGATCTCTAAAATAAGATTCTCTTAACAAAAGTTTTATTCAAGAGTGCCTGTCAAATTAGTTGATTCACTCCGGAACCGAAAAAATCGTGCCAGCAGAGGCGGGGGAATGAAATGCAGGGAACGCTCAACGGAAGTTGACGGACGGTTGCAAGCTTTTATGAGAGGCGAGCTCGGACACAAAATTAAACTTGAGAATTTGAGAGTTTCCAGTGGTTTAATTCCCCCTTCCCTACTTTATGGCTTCCAGTTCCAACATGGACATAGAGGGCGCGACCCAGCACCTTCGGGACATCTTAAAACTGGATCGTCCCTGTAATTCGGCCGGTAAGTTGCTGGGGAAGGGAGCAGCTAGGCCGCGGCGCGATGATGCTGCGCAGCGCCTGATTTCGGCACGAGCCACCTGTCTGTAGTCGCTCAAAACCGCGGCACAGCGCTAACTACATTGTATAAGTGACAAACATCATGTTTTGTGTGTTAATTTGATTGAATAAAAGCAGTGATAATGTAGCATGTAAGGGCTAAACTCCTGCTGGTGCAGCAGCAGCTTTGCTCCGACAGAAAGAGTTGTGTATTAATTGCGACATGAACATAAATGTTATTCAAAAGTTTAATGCATTGCATATTCTTCACTATGCAGCGACTTGATAACCGTGACATTATAGGCTTCTAGGCGAAGACATGTCAATTCAAAAGGACGGTTTCAAAACCTATTCAACTTTTTGTTCATCGTTACAAGGTTTTTCCTTATGTTAGAACAATGCATATACAATGTTACACACATTATTTATATATATATATATATATATATTTGTGGGAAAAAATACATAATCAATATATACTAATGGGAGGGGAAATGTTAGTCAGCCATAGATGGTGATGCACATCATTGAAAGTCACAAAAGTGAGAGTGCACTATTGCAATTTTACGTCTTGATTTATCAGTCATATAATTCCACAGATCCCTCTTTGGTAGAGAGCCAGAGAAAACCATCTTTCAATGGAGAGTTGAATGGTGTTCTGGGAGCGGATCTTATGGGAGCAGGACGACTTGCGGCAATGGTGGAGCCAACTAACGTTACTCACAACTCAGACAAACTTAATGGACAGGACACGCAGACTATGTATGTTTTGCTGTCATTAACACTGTATACAATGTTAAATGCATTCTTTAGCAAACCATTAGTGTTATAATATTGTCATTATCTTTTTATGAACTGTAATTTTTATATACTGGACTTAAAATGTTTTGCTTTATAATATTTATACTACCCTTCAAAGGTTTGGGATCTGCAAGATTTTTAAATAAATATCTTCGGGTCACCAAGCCTGTGTTTATTTGATTGAAGATACCGTAAAAAAACTTAATATTGTGAAAAAGTATTACAGTTTTAATATATTTTAACATTTAATTTATTTCTGTGTTGACAAAGCTGAATTTTCAGCAGTCATTACTCCAGTCACATGATCCTTCAGAAATCATTCTGAAATGCTGATTTGGTGCACAAGAAACATTTCTTCTTATTATGAATGTTGAAAACAGTTGTGCGGTTTAATAGTTTTTTTTTTGTGGAAGCAGTGATGAATAGAAAGTTGAAAAGAACTGCATAGAAATCTTGCAATAGAAATGTTTTGGAACATTATGAATGTCTTTGCTGTCACTTTTAATTGGTTTAATGCATCCTATGTATGTTGAGTGAGCAGGTTTATATATAGGTATAAATCAAATTTGAGCTCTTTATTGTCGATAAATCCATATGTCTGTTTTTTTTTTGTACCAGCTGTCTTTCAGGAGACGATGGGTCCACCTGTGTCCCCATCAGAGCAAACAATGTGGAAATTGTGTCCAGTCGTGACTCTAGTATTGACAGTAAGGCTCGTGGCAGCAACAAGGTGTGTAAATTAATGAACTTGTGCAAAAGTGTTTATTATTAACAGTTCAGGCTTTCACTGTCATGGAAAACCTAGAAAAATCTGGGAATTTTCATTTTGTATTTCCAGGTCTGGAAAAGTAATTTGAAATGAATAAAATCATGAAAACCATGGAAAATTCTAGTCCGTAAATCTTTAACTTGTGCTCAGATATGAAATATTTGCTTGGCTTGAAATCTCTATATAATGATTTTTAAAAACAAACTTTTGGGAAAGTCATAGATAGCACCCCTTTAATATTATGCTTTTTCAACTTTAGTTAGTCTGTAATGTTCCTGTTTGAGCATAAAAAAGATTTTTATGTTACAAAGCTGAAAGTCCAATTCAAAAGGAGATATTTTATATAATAGAAATCGCTTTCAAAAACTACAACGAACGAATCGTTTGGACTACAACGCATATTTTCCGGGATTTGTGATATCACAAATATCGACAAATGGGACGAGACCTGGTCTAGCTGCGCTAGAAAAGGCAACGAGTGTTATCACTATGTCGGAGACATGCTAGCTTTCCCAAGGCAGAAAAACGTAGTGATTACAATCATCTGGGTTTAAATTGCGCTTAAATTGATTTGATTTTGAGCAATATTTGCACTGAAGCTGCAGGCGGCTATGGTACGGGGCATGACATTTCCTGACCAGACGTCGAGTGCTGCCAATCACAACACACACTGGCCCAGCTAACCAATCACAGCACATTTCGTATTTCAGAAGGCGGGCTTTCATTTGCATCATTTACAGGAACTATTCGAGCCTTTTTCAACTTTAGTTAGTCTGTAATGTTCCTGTTTGAGCATAAAAAAGATTTTTATGTTACAAAGCTGAAAGTCCAATTCAAAAGGAGATATTTTATATAATAGAAATCGCTTTCAAAAACTACAACGAACGAATCGTTTGGACTACAACGCATATTTTCCGGGATTTGTGATATCACAAATATCGACAAATGGGACGAGACCTGGTCTAGCTGCGCTAGAAAAGGCAACGAGTGTTATCACTATGTCGGAGACATGCTAGCTTTCCCAAGGCAGAAAAACGTAGTGATTACAATCATCTGGGTTTAAATTGCGCTTAAATTGATTTGATTTTGAGCAATATTTACACTGAAGCTGCAGGCGGCTATGGTACGGGGCATGACATTTCCTGACCAGACGTCGAGTGCTGCCAATCACAACACACACTGGCCCAGCTAACCAATCACAGCACATTTCGTATTTCAGAAGGCGGGCTTTCATTTGCATCATTTACAGGAACTATTCGAGCCGTTCATGCCAGACTGGGGAGAGAGGTGTTGTAATGTAAAATATGTGAAAAATAATGTTTTTCGAACAACCTAGTATGAGAGCCTGTTCTAGTACACCTCCAAAACAAAATCAAGACTTTGTAAAAGAGCATAATAGGACCCCTTTAATAGGTCAAAATGAGTGGAAACTCTGGAGAAAAAAAAAAATGCATTTTATTCTCTAAATCTTTTCCTCATGACTTTTCTTACAGGTTAAAATTCAGCCAGTGGCCAAATATGACTGGGAGCACAAATACTACTATGGCAATTTAATAGCCGTGTCTAACTCATACTTGGCTTATGCCATCAGAGGTCAGTTTGCGTGCTGTCCATGGCTCATTTAGCACAGTCCTTTGAATAAAATGTTGATTGGATTCAGCTGAATAGTTTGTAATTGTTTTTCGCTCACAGGTGCAAACAATCATTCTATGATCCGAGTGCTGCGGCTGGGATCAACGGAGCGTTCGCTGCTGAAGGGCTTCACAGGTGCAGTCACAGACCTTGCTTTCGCCCACTTGGACTCCACCCTGTTGGGCTGCGTGGATGAGGCTGGAAACATGTTCATTTGGCAACTCACTAGCCACAGCAGCAAAATACAGTATCCGCTGTAGAATGAACACGAATAATGATAAAGATTTTTCACATTTCATTACTAAATAATCAGGAGCAGCAGGTTAATTAGACCACTAATTAAGTTTTAAATTTTTTATCCAAAAAGGCCCAATTGTAATGTGTGTGTATATATATATTATTTCTATATATAAAAAGTCTGGATCTACATGTATTGTAGTACAATGCTAATGAGAAGGTGAACTGTGATATTTCTCCTTAGCATTAATGTTTCTTAGAGATGAAGTGTTAGTTCACATCCGAAGGCCTGAGGACACTCCACTAAATTCCAACCGCAGACTCATCTGGTGTCCCTTCATCCCGGAGGACAATGATGAGAACCCAGAGGATGCGTGTCAGACACTGGCACTCCTTCATGAAGACAGAGTGCGTTTTCTCTGGAATTTGACAGTTTTATCACTTTCTTTCCAATATGTCCTCATATTATTAGATTTAAAGTGTTTTTAACACTATTACTCTCCTAACTGGATTATTTTTTTCTTGTACTTGTAGGCTGAGGTTTGGGATCTCGACATCCTCCGATCCAATAACAGTTCATGGCCTGTGGATGCCACTGACCTGAAAGAGGGTTTCATCACCATTAGAGGACACACAGCAGTAAGTGCTGCTGTCTTAGCTTAATGCTGTGTCTTGCAAGTGCAATGCAAGTGTTGTATTAACTAATTAAGAAATTCGATTTAATGTAATTACAATAGCACATAAGTGAGTTATTTCTATTTCTGCAGCGCATTAGTGAGGGAGCGCTGTCCCCTGATGGCACTGTCTTGGCCACAGCCAGTCATGATGGATATGTAAAGTTTTGGCAAATCTACATTGAAGGACAGGATCAGCCCAGGTACATGTCTGAGACATTATGAAATTGAACATACTCAACTGTTCAAAATTTGAGATCAGTAAGGTTTTATTTTTAAAAGAAAAAAATGAATAATTTTTTTCAGCAAGGATGCATTAAATTGATCTAAAGTGACAATAAAGCCATTTGTAATGTTGCTGAAAAATTCTATTTCAACTGAATATTGTTCTTTTGAACTTTCCATTTGTAAAAGAATCCAGAAAAATGTATATTTTTTTCCCACAAAAATATTAAGAACAACATTTTCAACGTTGATAATAGAATCAGAATAAATTCTGATAATAATAGATCAGAAATGTTTTTGAGAACCAAGTTAACATATTGAAATGATTTCTGAAGGATCAGGTGACACTGAAGTCTGGAGTAATGGCTGCTAAAAAAAATTATGCTTGCCATCACAGGAATCAATTACTCATTGAAATAAATCTTTACATTTATTTATAGTAATATTTCACTGTTACTGTTTTTATTACTGTTTTCATTAAGTAAATGCAGCTATGATGAGCATAAGAGACTGCTTTCAAAAACACAAAATCTTACCAACGAACCAACCAAACGGTAGTGTATAAATATTAACACATCAAACAGTGGCATGTAGCTTTCAAGTATTTCTCAGTTATTTATACATTTATTGCTTTTAGTTGTCAAGGAAAAATTGTGCTAATATATTAATTTAAATACTCTGTGTACATTAATGTTATTAAATGTATATTATAAACATTTGACTGTAATTACCACATAAATGTGTTGTTGTGGTATTTAATGTCTTTAATATATTATCAATTATACTGTTAATAATGAACAATATTACAGTAATGGTTAGATTTTTTTTTCATTATTTATTATACTTCTAAAGCTGTCCTATAATTAAATCGATAACCTTGTGAAAAATGTAAGTAACCTTGCTCCTTTTGCAGATGCCTGCATGAATGGCAGCCACATAATGGACGTCCTCTTTCCTGCCTGCTCTTTTGTGACAACCACAAGAAGCAAGACCCAGAGTAAGTATGAAGTTTGTACAGTCTTCAGTGATCCCAATTCAAAGTTTTTGTCAGCATATTAAGTCATCAAGGAATCTGACACTGGGCTTTAAGCTGTCTTTGCAGTTGTCTTTACTTGAAATTGTGTCTTAGACACTTGCTATACATTAAACTTAACCATTTATTTTCTTCTGAAGAGTTCCTTTCTGGCGCTTCCTGATCACTGGAGCTGATCAGAACCAGGAACTGAAGATGTGGTGCACAGTGTCATGGACGTGCTTACAAACCATCAGGTCTCTTCCTTTCTTAATTGTTCGATATTTCTAATATTATGTTAAATTATTTGGTGGTGTTCAAGCCTGAGCATAAAACTTTCTCCTCTATGGATAATATAGCTTAAAGGGATAGTTCACCCAAAAATGAAAATTTTATGTTTATCTGCTTACCCCAGGGCATCCAAGATGTAGGTGACATTGTTTGTTCAGTAGAACACAAACGAAGGTTTTTTTCTCAAACCGTTGCAGTCTGTCAGTCATAATGGAAGTGAATAGGAATCACGGCTTTGAGAGTCAAAAGAACATACACAAACAAAACCAAATCAAACCCTGCAGCTCGTGACGAAACATTAATGTGTAAAGACACGAAACGATCGGTCTGTGCAAGAAACTGAACAGTATTTATATCGTTTTTTACCTCTGATTCACCGCAATGTCCAACTGTCCTGAGCGTGTGCGTTATAAGTGAATTACTGCCACCTATCTCTCAAATGGACCATTGACACTCTACCTACAGTCTCAATTAGGAGTGTCAATGGTCCATTTGAGAGATTGACAGACTGCAACAGTTTGAGTTAAAAATCTTCGTTTGTATTCTACTGAGGAAACAAAATCACCTACATCTTGGATGCCCTTGGGGGTAAGCAGATAAACATCAAATGTTCATTTTTGGGTGATCTATCCCTTTAAACTGGTGAATTTAACTGTTAATTTGTGTTTCAGGTTTTCTCCAGATCTATTCAACAGCAGTGTGCTACCCAGCCTGAAGGCCAGTTTGGACCTGTCTGCAGAATTTCTCATTCTCTTGACTATCCATCTGAAGAAATCAGATCAGATTTCAGCACTCACCAAATTACTCATTTAACAATTCTTTTGTTCATAATGCATCCCTCAATCACTCCTCTATTTAAAATCCCCATCCGGTTAGGGTTTTTCTCCCCCACTGATGCTCTCTCCATCCCTCCTGCGAGAGGCCTCTCTGCTCTGCGAAGCTTCTCCTTATTCACACAGACTTCCCCTTCCTTATTTCCTATCTCCTCCTCCACAGGTTTCCCCTCCAAACCTTCCTCTCTCCCTGGATCTCCAGGCCATAGAACCCATGGTTGTCCCCCAGGCCTCTCCGACCAGAGTTCGCTCTCCAGATGTCATCTCCTCTGCTTCTACGGCAATGTCCCAGGACATCCCTGAGATCGCCTCAGAGACCCTGCAGAGGGGGCTGGCCAGTGCATCTGCTGACTCAGTCCCTGTCCTGCATTCTGACAGCATGGCATCAGCCGCATCAGTCCTCCACCTGCTGTCTCCTAGAGCCCGGAGCAGTGCTGAGCACAGTTTGCTGCCTCTCGAATTGGGTGCAGCATCTGTGGATGGAGAACAGAGACTCAATAACACACCCTCCCTGCTGGAGACGGCTCTGTCACAGGAGAACGCAGTAGCGGCTGGAGGATCCTGTTCTGACAGCAGCGTGAACCACACCTGGCCCGCAGCACCTGATATCACACGAGAAACTCGCAACAGCCACAGAGACAATGGTTTGGGAGACTGGTGAATTGCATTTCTATTAATTTAATATATAATTTTTATACACAACTGATGAAAAGTTTGGAATAATTGTGATTTTGTGTTTTTGAAAGAAGTCTCTTATGCTTACCAAGGTTGCATTTGTGATCTTGTGAAATATTATTGCAATTCAAAATAACTTTTTTATTGTAATATATTATAAAATGTAATTTATTTTTGTGGTGGTAAAGCTGTATTTTCCGCAGCGATTACGCAAGTCTTCAGTGGCACATCGGCCTTCAGAAATCATTCTGATAGGCTGATTTTGGTGCTCAAGAAACATTTCTTATTGTTATCAATATTGAAAACAGTTGTGCTGCTTTATATTTTTGTAAAAACAGGTCTTTCAAATTTTTTGAATATTTCACAATATTAATATATACAAATATATGCATCCTTGGTGAGCATTTTGTGTTTGATTTGTTGATACGTTTAGTTAATATTAACCTTTAGTATTGATTTATGTTCTGAGAGTTCTATGATCTGTGTGGTGTGCAGAGATATGATAAATTGAGCAAACAGTGATAATATTTGAAGATACAAGGCTAACACATTTGATTGTTTCCTTCCAGCTCTAGGGAGGAAATAAAGGACAGACACATTTCTTCTCCCTACCACAGGCGCACTTATCACCTGACTCAGAATGACAGTCAAGATGCAAGTGCAGAGCAGAGGTACATTTTTCATTCTGGCATATCACTTATGCAGGTGTCTGTGCCACTTCTGTAGCTCAGGTCAAATTACTAATACTTGTTTTTAATAAGAATTTGCTCAATTTATGCTGTCCATCTTTGCATTGGCTTGTCCTGCCATGTTATACCATATTGAGGAAGCTTTAAAATACTCAAATTCCAATTTAAGCTGTTTGATGTGAGTATTATGTGGCGTGTGGCCTAAAAACAGGGTTCAAATTAACATTTGTGCCAATTGTAAAATCAGTCTCTCAACAGGTGTCTGCTAACTTAATTAGAAATTGCAACCATTGTTGGGTCCGAGTCCACCTTGTCGAGTCCTAGTTTTTAATCAATTAAGTTTAAGTGGGAGACGTTTATTAATGTCTTTTTATATAAATTTTATGTAGTTACTTTTTTTAATTTTGTTTTATATTACACATGACATGGATTCGTCTGTACTCTGAAAAATTTCTGCGTCCAAAATATCCAAGTCCGAGTCCGTCCAAGTTCATTCACAATTGCAGTCCGAGTCCCGAGTCCATGTACCCCAACTCTGATTGCAACTTTACATGGTTTGTCCAAATGTTAGTCTGATCTTTGCTGACATCACTGATGTGAGCCGTCTGCTGAAGAAAACGGTCACGGGTTTTTTTCAATAGAAGTTCAGTGTTCTAAATGAGTTCTGAACTTAAATTGCCATGGTTACAAAACATAAGATGGGATTCTTAGTTCTAATACAGATTCTATCATGTGGTATGTAAGATACAGTATTCTTCAAATAAAGCTACCAAAACTATAATATGGTTAACAGAATAAAAGGAGACATGTCCAATAAAATATATTTATGGATGGTAAATTTTCTTAAGGAAAACAGTTACTGCGGTCTACAATTAAAAAAAAAAAAAATACAATTGTGAATATATAGTTAGCATCTGGGCCTAATTGTCATAATCATATTTTACAACAATTGTTTTTATTATTGATTGGTTGACTTTTTAATAACTTTTCACTTTTACTATTTTTAGCTACATTATTTACATGTAAAGGTTAAAAAAATATTTAAAAAAAACAAATTGCACTTCTGTTCAAAAGTTTGGGGATAGTAAGAAGTCTCTTATTCTAAGCAAGGCTATATTTATGTGATTAAAATACAGTATTATTTTGAGATTATTACCGTTTAAAATCATTTTCTTATTATTTTTTAAATGTTTTTTAAAATCCAATTTATTTCTGTGATGGCAAAGCTGAATTTTCAGTAGCCAATACTCCAGTCTTCAGTGTCACATGATCCTTCACAAGTCATTCTTATATTCCGATTTGGTGTTCAAAAGACATTTCTTATTATCAATGTTGAAAACCATTGTGCTGCATAATCCACATTTTGGAAACAGTGATAAATGTTTTTCAGGTTTCTTTGAATATAAAATTCAGAAGAACAGCATCTGTGACAATATAAAAATCTTAACCGTCACTTTGGATCAGTAATACATCCTTGCTGAATAAAAGTAACTGCTTTTAAAAGCAATTGTGTGTATATATTGAAAACTTATTTAAGTATGGGTAACCATACTTGGCCACATGTCACGTCACTTTCACTTTAATATTTTGAAATCATGGCCACACTCAACTTAAAAATTATTTAAAATCTTAGAAAAACTGTAAGCCCATTAAAACAGGAAAAGGCAAGAAAGCTGATATGAATGTAATTGTTTGCTAATGCGTGGTATTGTTCATTCATATGCATGTACACGCACTAATTAGGGCTGGGCGATATGGACAAAAAAATGTAATAATAAAATTTTTCGTATAAGTCAATATCGATAATTATCACGATCAATTTCAAATCTTTGTTTCTTTCAAGTTTAAAGCCAGATTTTTTTGCTCCTAAGTGAAAGCTGTAGTAACCAGACCATTAATTGTGGTTTAAAAGTACTGTTTATGGTTAGAACATGACAAACACGTCACGTTTTTGAATTCTTTACACTTTTCTAGTCATTTTTCTTTAACAAAATAAATATCTTAATAGAAAAAATAATTTCTAAGTTTCTACATGTTATAATGAGTGATATTGTTTCAAATCATGAAACAGGTTTGTGTTGCCTGACTTTGATGTGTTTCTTCAGCGTAGTTTGCAGTGCAGGCTGCAATATTAATAATATTAAATGTTCTTGTCTCTTAGATATGCACATTTGACAGTAGCTTGAGTTAGGATGCAGATGTAAATTTGTTAATTATCAAAAACAGCAACATCTGTAAAAATTGTAACAGCCTAATTTTTATATGGTGAAATTTAATTATTAATTGTTCCAGTTTTATTAAAATTAACCACTGGTCTTCCATAGTAAATGTAACTGTAATGTAAAATGTAAGTATATGGTTTCTAGGTATTTGTATGAAAAACAGTTTAAACAGGTATAAATGAACAAAAGCTTAGCTTAATCACAAAAAATACTGTAAGTATATTCATTGCTCATTTAATATATGTCTACATTAATAATATAATTAAATTCGATATGAATATCCCACATTTCTGCCACAATACCATGGTGCAGTGTGTTACTACAGTAAATCCATGGTAAATGATGGCAATTTGTAGATTGAAAAGCCTTCTGACTGTATTATTGCGCACAGTGTTTCTTCTGTTTGTCAGCACGGTTTCATCAGGCTTTAAACTAGTTTAAATCGCCAAGTCTTTTGTGTTTTTTGCTGAATTCAAGTGCTTCACACTGGATCTCACAGTGCTGTTTAGTGCTCGCGTGACTGAGACTTATCAACCAGTAAATGCATCTGCTCTAAGCTCGCACTGCGCTGCTGTTTGTAATTTAAGCCGAGCGGATATATGGTCCGTGTGGCGCGGTTCAAATGAGTAGTGTTGTTTTGTTCCGCTTTTAGCGCATAAACATTATATCGAACTCTTGTTATTGTTTTATCGAGGAAAATCATATCGTGATAATTATCATTTTATCACCCAGCCCTAACACTAATGAATAATCATTTTGGATTGGTCTGGCCCGTACAATTTTTTTATGTTAGCTTTAACTAACTGGTGACACAGAAAGAAGAATGGAGCGAATTCTGGCTGAAGGACAAAGCCGGAACCAACAGCTCCAGGACCAGCTGGTTCAGCAGCTTGTCCAGACACTGAACAACAGTCTCTGCAATCGGCTAGACAAAATTTTGCGTGAAGAAATGAAGAAGACCGTCCCACAGTGTGAGTGCTGATGTTCTGAACACAAGAGCTCAACTACTTTTTTCTTGTTGCATTCAATATTACAAAGAACATCCTGCTCTTGTTTTCTGACTGTGAAATAGTTGGAGCAAAGACTTTTATTGATTTAAGTTTTATGTGGAGCTTTATGTGACCTTTTGTTTTGTTATGCAGCCATATCGAAGAGTCTAGAACCTGTGACCAGCCAGATGAGCTGCACCATTGCTGCCAAGTTAACCGCAGTGGAAGTAACACTGAAGGAAAATGTCACCAAAGTTGTTAAATCCAAGGTCAGTGGCTTAAAGTTTGAGAATCAACACTTTAAAATTGTTGTTTTGTTTGTTTTTTTTGTATCCAAACTTGACACTTATGACATTATTTTTTACAAAGACTGAGTTAAAAACATTTCTGTCTGGAAAGAATGTTTCTCTGAAAGACATACTACAAACTGAGCAGTTCAAAAGAAGTGCACCAACTTCTATGCACCAATGTAGCACTGAATAATTCATTGTGGAACACGGAACAGGCACAAACTGGGGAAAACTCATAACTCTTCTAACTTTTTGTCCTATTCTTCCGTTCACAGAACACTACGGATGCTATCGGTCGTGCTGCTGCTGAGGCCATGCAGGGCCCCATCCAGTCAGCCTACAAAGAGACCTTCCAGAGCATCGTGCTGCCCGTGTTTGAGAGAGGCTGCCAGTCCATGTTTCAGCAAATCAATGACAGCTTCAAACAGGGAACCCACGAGTGTAAGAATTATCCCATCTGACTTTTTGTTTTGCTTGTTTATGGTAATGGAAATATAAGTAGAGCATATGAATGAATCTAGCAGATTGTTGAATGCTCTTAAGCCTGTTTGCACATCTTGCATCTGTAATGCAAGCTAATTAATAAAACTCTTTTGCTTTAAGCAGTGTTGTAATGTGTTGCTGTAACTAAATATCTAATGACTTCACATTCTCCCGCAGACATCCAACAGCTGGAGACACACATTAAGAACAGGAAACAGCGGGACCAGGATGCACAGGATCCTGTGATTGGCCAGCTGCAACAGATGATTGACACGCTCCAGAATTCTCAAGACCAGCTGGCCACCACTGTGACGGCCAGCGTGTGCTCTGACGTTCAGCATCAGCTCCACATGATCGTGGGAAAGTAAGGCCACACGGATGCAGCACAAACCTCATCCAATATTTGTCAGAAATCAATATAAGGAAAGGAAAGTTTATTCTCTTTCCTCTTGTATGTCTTCCCTTATGGAAAACTTTATTGCATGAATAGAGGAAGCGATTGATTTAAGAGTTCATGCAGATAAAGCATTTTTTGGAGCTCTGCATTGAGTACCTTGCGAATTGATTGGCAGGTGTGGCAGCCAGCCTAATCCTGGGTTTAATTTCTGTCAATAAAGCTGGTTTGTTTCCCTCCCACACAATTGCAATATAGAGTATGTAGTATTAAATTCAGGATTAAATCCCTGTGGCTTTTGAAACCAAAATGGAGCTAAATATTGTTTGTTACACTGAGATTTACATTGCAGTGCTGTAGTTCCAATTAATTCAAATTTAGTCTAAACCTATACTCTTAAAAGCTTATATAGGTTTTTAAACACTATACCTTGTGTTTTAACATGTTCTTCGTCAATGGAATCTTCGTCGATAAATTACAAACAAAAAATAACCATGAGATTTAACCGTAATTAATACCCATTTTAGTGTTAAAGTTAGGCCTGTCGCGATAATTAACCGTCTAAATTATGATTATTTGATCTAACCGCGGTTTTCTGAAAAAAATATTGTGATTGATTATTGTGCTTTTCAAGGGGGAGTCATACACCAAAAGAAACAGAAGAGCACCAGTTTGGTTTTCATGCACTGTATATAGCCTATATCATCTGAAGCCATTCCATATCTTAATGTGAGGGACAGAATTGTATTTACATTGGTCAATTTAAGTTTACAGAAATTGATCTTCCTTCTGCTGCAGCTGTCAGTCATTCTCCGCTTAGCATTCAAACAGCACGTCACGTTAAGTTATGACAGTCAGCACGGTAAACCTCTCTCTCCAAGATGATATATTCCCATTATAATACTTGATGTGTAGATAAAGGTCTGGGGATTCGCATAAAATTACATCTTGCTGGAGTTCATTGCTCTCTCATTTCTCTTCTCTTTGTTTGTACCGTAACTTACGTTGCTTCAAGCACATCATTCTGCACCCTAGATGTGCATAAGAGCTTTGTGCCGCTCTGTTTGAAGCGTTTCACGTTATCCAATTTTTGCACACAGAAAGATTATTAGAAGCCTTTCTTTTTCTCATGATTTCTATCTTATTTTCATGAATGTATTTTTTAAGAATACAAATAGTTAACAGAATAAACCTGTTTAAATTGTATAATGTGCACCAAAGATTTTTTTTCAAGATATTGTTTTTGCTGCTAAATTATACAGTCAACTAGTTTAATTTCATAACGTATATATTTTTGTTCAAATGTAGTTTTTCTCTGTAATGAGGAAGTGAGTATTTAGTGGATTATGTTTAACAAAGGGTTATAAAAGAGTGACCATTAGTTCCACAAACACAGTATTGATATTCTGTAGTGGTGTAGAAAAAAAAATAGCGCTGGTGTTGGATCGATATTGGCCGATTCTTAGAATTTGGAATACTCTGTAATCTTACACTGCAAAATAATAACTCAAAAAAGATTAAACGATAACATCATAATTATTTACTGAACCCTTAAATTAATCACTATTATATAATGAAAGCCATAAAAAAATAGACAATTAATTGTGATAATCTGCATAATCGTCATAATCGACAAAGCCCTAAAACAGACAATTAATCGCAATAACCGTGACTATTTTTTAGACAATTAATCGTCAGCCAAATTTCATAACCGTGACAGCCCTAGTTATAGTGATATTTGCCCATTTTTTAAATGATTGCCATCTGCTACATTTTACTGTTTGGCCAATAAGTGTCGGAAGCTGGACATTTATTTTTAAGGTGCTGAAAATCCCTGAACACAGACACACAGGAGCTCCCATTCTACATCTTAAGTTACTGTCTTTGTGTATATCATTTCTATCTAATTATTTATTATGCAAAACCGTTAAAGAAAGTAATTTCTATCTATCTAAAAAGTATGTGTTTGCTTTTCTGTTATTAATAATAGAAAGGCTAACACTTTCTAATGTAACTTTGTCGCATTCAGCAAATTTGTATTTATATAATTAAAACATCTTTGAATATGTAATTTATTGACAAGAAAAGTGTCACTTACAGTTTTTATTTCCTTTTTAGTCATGTTTGTAGCTTTAGTAGGATATTGTAAACTATAGTTAGGTTACAGAATTTTTTTCATCAATTTAAAAAAAATATTTTTTCTTTTTTTAATTTTTTCAAATTTAGTAATTATCCTGCAATTAAATTTATATTTTTTACATGTTATTTTCTCTTTTTAGATAATGTGATATGTATATCAGCTCTATGTTGGCCATAGAAAAAAATCCATATTGGTTGACCACTACCTATTTTTATTCCACAACGGTATTCAATGATGAAAAATTGTATTAAATACACTCCATTAGTTTGTTAATTTTACAGGAAGTATCTTGTCTTATAATAAAATGTATGTAGACTAAAGGTGTCTGTCCTATCTGCAGTCTGCAGGACTCAATCCTGACGCAGGTACAGCGCATAGTGAAGGGAGAGGTGAGTCTGGCCATGAAGGAGCAGCAGGCAGCTGTCACCTCCAGCATCATGCAGGCCATGCGCTCAGCCGCAGGAACACCTGTACCCTCTGCACATCTGGACTACCAGGCCCAGCAGGCCAGCATACTGCAGTTACTACAGCAGGGCCAGCTCAATGAGGCCTTCCAGCTGGTTGGTTACTGATGGCTACACACACACATGTCATATTTCTCATATTTCTCAAGTCAGCCTAATGTTTTTAGGTCTTTAAATGGTTATTAGGGGAGTATTGATTAGATAAACTTCTGTCAATAGGTCTTTTAACACACTTTTACAAGTGTTAAACCACACTATTTAATCATTAAAATGTATATAACTAATTAAAATGCAAAAAACATCAATATATGAGCTAAAATTAACTATTTGTATTGAAAAACATCATAATCTTATAAAATCACAAAATAAATTTATTATATTAACTTAAATGTATTATATTAACATTGTATAACCACACAACAGTTTACATTTTGTGAAACAGACTGCATTTATGGGAATGTGCAGCACTGTTTTGTCATACTAGATACATTTGAAAGTTATGTTATAATGCTACTCTGTGCGGCCGTCACCCGTCTAATAAAATGCACAACATATTAAAGCGTCTTTGGTGTTTTCTACAAAACAAAACCGGAAATCGAGGGTGTATGATGTCATTGACAGGCGACACAATAGTTAGGTTTCCATCACCCGGCTTTTATGTGCATTTTGAAGTATCGCATCAGAATCGAGAGACGGAAACGCTGAATTTCGAATGAAAATGCCTTAATTCGCAAAAAAGTTTTTACGCTCGCTTGAGGTGGTTTTTGACTTGTGTGAAAAAGGGTTAATGCGAATAATGGAAAATGGAAATGCATTTTGCGAATAAATTCCTTCAAGCGCATCAAAGTAATGTGACTTTGCGCTATGGGACAGCAAATCCTGACTAACCAGCGGACCGGTCTTGTTCCACAGCATCTGAAATGTTGTTATATGGTCATTCGGAAATGCCCGAGCAAAGTCTGTCATCAAAGTATTTCTGTATAATTGCCTCCCAGAACTGTTAAACGACTGCGTTCCCAAACAGCAGCATCCACCTCCGAAAGCAATAACCGCATTCATTGTGTTTCGTCTGCTCGTTCTGAGGTGCAAGCAATTTATTATATAGGAAAATTATTATATTCAGTAGCTTCTCCTGCTTTTCTTAGTGATGTATAGTGCCAGTTTATCAGGAAGTGGTGATTTTGTTCTCTTTGACTCATTGGATGGAATCGGTGCTTGTTCGCAAATGTTTTGTGCGATATTCCAATTTTGCGCACAAGTTAAATTCGCAACTTTGTATGGAAACCCGGCTAATGACACTAGTTAAAATTGCTTATTTCTCTGGATTTAAACAATCTTCGAAACATTTTGGATGATCTAAGTCAGGGGTGCCCAAACCCGGTCCTGAAGGGCCGGTGTCCTGCAGAGTTTAGCTCCGACCCTAATTAAACACACCTGAAGCTGCTAATCAAGGTCTTACTAGGCATACTAGAAACTTCCTGGCAGGCAAGTTGGAGCTAAACTCTGCAGGACACAGGCCCTCCAGGACTGAGTTTGGGCACCCCTGATATAAGTACACAAGTCAGCAAAATATATAACACTGTTCTAGTGGTTCTTGGATATTTTAATAAAATAATCTTACATATTGTGCCTTTTAAGCATTGCAAATCACTAATAGCCAAATTAAGCATTTGGAAGGAGACGTCTTAACATAAGTGCTGACAGTCAGTCTGCAGTAACTGTTATTAAAGTATATTCTTGATTTGTATTCATAACTTGTTAATTTATTACATCAATTTGCATTTTCTGTCAATTCAGTGGTTGTAGGGAATCACTGTAATTAGTCCTGAAAATTGAAACCAAACAGTTTGTCTTATTTCCACAGGTGATATGACATGAGATGTGACATTTTGTGTCCTATTACTATCGTCTTCCACAATATCACTGTATTGTTTTAGTATGTCGTCTCCTGGTTTTTTCACAGACTGTTCTCTGTGCTTTTTCTTGCAGGCTTTATCCGCAGCAGACTTGAATCTGGTGCTGTACGTGTGCGAGACCATTGACTCCCAGCAAGTGTTTGGCCAGCAGCCCTGTCCACTGCATCAGGCCGTCCTTCTGTCTCTCATCCAGCAGCTCTCCACCAACCTGAGCACACGCACAGAACTCAAGATCAGGTTTGTTCCCTTCAAATTTGTCAGTCACTGCAGTCATATTCTATACCCCCCCCTCATGTGTCCTTTATATGGAAATTATTCTTTCAGCACCACTCTGTTTAAATGAGTATGCAAGAGCATGCACAGCACTGTGCTATTAATGATTAAACACTTAAGTATTTATTTATAGCCCTCTGTATGTTGTACGTGATCAAGGGCGAAATGCAGTTTCATATAACAGGATATTAATGCTTTAAGACTCGAGACATCGTCCCTTTCTCCTCTTTAATTCCTCTGTGGATGACCTTGTGTTGAAGGGGACATCCGCTTCTGTGGCAGTGCTGCATTGGGCTGCAGTTATTAAAGTGCTCTACAGTCTGGGCTGCATTAGAGTTCTCTGCTGGGGGAAAGGGACCAACTCCCGTGAATCACAGAGTAATGCTCTGCCTGTGTGCTGCCAAGTCCCTTTACTGCAATAAACTGCTCAGCCTGCCAGTCCTATCTCTGAATTGCACTCTAAAATACTAGTGTTTCATACTGCCCATATGTGCATAGACATAACCATCTGTAAGTCTGTCCTCTTTCTGCACGGACATAAGGATGTTATTTTAAGTAGGAAGTCACATGCTTTAGGTTTGATCAATTTTTAGCACCGGAATTAATATTCACAGGAGTCTGTGCTTTTTTTTTCCCATGACAAAGAACGTTAGACACCTTCATATTCAAAATGATTAATAAAAGTTTGATTTTCATATACATTTACTTTTATTAATAATTGCTTAAATGTATTTTACAGTTTTTGCTGCTTAATATTTTTGTGGAAACTGTGATACACTGCCATTAAAAAGTAAAAAAAAAATAAGAAAAAAAAGCTTTGCCATCACAGGAATAAAGTAGATTTTCTTTTTAAGTGAAGGTATTGCTTGGGAATATTAATTAACATTGGGGTGTTTGCCCAGTAGGCAAACTTATTGACTAAAAGAAGCATGTTGTATGTGCTAGTGCAGGCCTGATTCATGAATATTCATTAACTTGATTGGACACTCCCATTAGATTACCAAAGAATGCTGTTATGACCCAATTTATATTCACACACTACACCTTAATCCCGCTTTGGGCGTACAGTACATAAGACACATTTTTGCATTCAGTAACAGCTAGGCGAGTGCAACAAAGTGGAACTAGCAGGAGTCTCTGGGCACTTTTTTTTTGTTCATTTGTTTACCTGAACACTGTGTGATGTGGCACTCATGGCACGTGATGCTGAAAAGCAAGTCTGGCATCAGTGCAACAGCTGCTTCACATTATGTAACACTTGGTTAAAAAAAACAAAACAAGAAAACTCCATAAACAGTAAAACTAATATTAAAACGGTTTGCTATTGCTTTGAAATCTTTTTGGATGGGTGTTCCTGGCCTGGGTATTTTTTGTGTTACAAACAGTACAGCAAAATCTAAACCAGTTGACATTTTTTCCAGCATAACAAGGTGTATTCTATCATACCGCCCATCCCTATGTGTCATGCTCCAGAGTTAAACTAGGGGTGCTCCGATTGATCGGCTACCGATCATTATCGGCCGATAATCACGTTGGGATGATTGGTCGGCGGTCTCTAAAAAGGCCGATCTCAAGCTGATGACGCTGCCGTGAGAGGTTTGGCATGACATGCAGTGGCACCGTCTCGGTCCAGCGTGGGTGAAATAATTATAATGCTGAAGGTGAGGTACTCACCTTCATATTTCTAAATTAATTAACTTCGCAATTTCACAAACAGCATGAGTGATTCACCGCGCACGCTCTCTCTTTCTTAAAATACGCAAATGGCTTCAAATCACCACACATCGCGTCTGTCTATAAGCGAGCTGCACGCTGCACAGTTGACACAGGAATTGTCACTTGCACAATCGAGGCAGTGCCATTTTTTCCGCGCTCTTGTTAACGGATTAAAGCATTCAGTGCGTTCCGGAGCGGTGCGTCTGCAGCAGTGCAGAGATCGTTTCCGCACCAAGTCTATTTTTGCTGTGATACACGCGCTGAATTAAAGTGACCGCACATTGTTTGCAGTACATATGAAAACGAAAATGTAGCAATTGCACCATAAATGCATATAATTAAAGTATACTGTCTTTCACAGTCAACACGTATGGCTTGTTGGCTAGTTTTAAAGGAAAAGAGCACTTTTAGATAAGGCAATAATAATGCACTCGTGGAGGTAGGAAAACAAAGTTCTTTATGAACCGCAGGATTGCTTGTAATAACGATTTCTATGCAAAAGGAAAGTAGTTTAAATGTTTTGCCACTTGCTAGAGCAACTTAACATAAATCTAGAATTAAATGCAAAAGTAAAAAGCATTGAATGATGTGTTGCTTATATTTATTGT